GGCCTGTGGACCCCGTACAGGTGGCCGGCGAGGTGGGCTTCAAGGCCCTCGGGTGCTCCCGTCACTGAAGCACTGACAAAAGATCGGTGATCACAAACAAGACTAAAAAAAAAAAAAAAAATTGTTCTTTTAATTTTCTTAAACATCTTAGAAAATTCTAGTTAAAGGTGGCAGGTTGAACACATGCCATTAGCCTCTCTCCTCCCCCAAATCACCTGTTTTTAAAGCCACACCACAAGGACAGAGAGAACCAGAAAGGAGACAGAATAAGTGGCCAAGGATGGACAAGTGATCAGTCATTCAGCAAACTGGAGAACTCTGAATTTCAAGTTGGTAAAAGCCCAACGTGCGATTCTCAAAGCGGAGCAGAAGTAGAGTGAAGAAGGGACTGTGCTAGAAACAGGTCATCAGAATTTTCTCCTTATCTCTGCAGAAGACTGAGATTAATTTTTCTGACATGGCAAAACAGAGGGATCTCTGCAGCCCTGACTTGAGGGCGCTTCACAGAAATGGCACCACATCATAAGTCAGTAAGATATAAATGGAGGTTATTAGGTGTGACTTCTGAAAGGCACAATGGAAAACAGAGATAGTTGACATAATGACTCTTCATCTTTCTTCCTCTACATGGAAACTACCACGATGATACAGTGCCAACATCTGCCCTGACCACAAGCCCGCTCTGAGGAAAAGCTATGCAGTGCCTCTCTGGCAGGAGGATGGGTCTCTTTAACCATGTGGCCCTAGACGTAGCCCTCTAAACTTCTTAAGCCTTATTATTTAAAATGCTTACTTTTGGCGTTGTAATATGAGATGAACTAAATCCAAACAGACAGAGCCTAGGACTTCTCAGTCCCAATTAAAGCAATCTGCAGAATTCAAATGCTATTCACAAAGGAGTAGACGCGTCAGGAATCCCAGAGTCCTGTATCCCTCATTTAAAATTATCCTATAGAACAAGATAGTGGAATAAGAGGTCCCCAGCCTTCATTCTCCACAGAAACAAGTATCTGACAGACACACAAAGACAAAAGTGGCTTGGCGGGGAGCCTCAGGTTCTCAACAACCTGGTAGAATCCAGGACTGCAGAGGGCAGCCTTGAGAAGGCAGGGCTGGGCCTCAGTCTGTATAGGAGCTTTATGGAGTTCCTTTACTAGAATCATGTTTACCTAATTCTTGGTGATCTGTGCAGTCTTGTATGATACATGTGCATTTGAAAAAGCAGAGATGGGCCTTTCCTGGTGGTGCAACAGGTTAAAGCACATCACTGCAAGCTGCCACAGTCACTTCTGTGCAAGTTCGATCCCTGGCCCCGGAGCTGACCCACATGGCGCAGCAGACCTCTCCTGTCTCACCTGCTGCTCCCCTCAGCAGTGTACTTCATCAGTCGGCCTGTTCTGCTCCCCACTCTGTCTCTGGTGAATCCTCTCACTGCCCCTGCACCTCTGGCCTGTACCCCAGTTCTGTGTGCATAAATAAATAAATCTTTAAAAGAGAAAAAGAAAAAGCAGAGACCTTCTCTAGACTTTACAGACTGGCTTTGGTTGGTGAAGACCTGCTCTTGCCAGTCTCTGGACTGATGGAATAGACTTTGGGATTGTGGTCAAACAGGGCAGGAGCTGGGCCATGTGCTGCGACCAGGCCCATAGTCAAGGCCTGCTCTAGTTCTGAGGCAGCCTGACCCTCGCAGACACGGCTCTAGGCCCCTTTGCTAAAAGCAATGTTCTATTGCCAGCCCCATCCACAAAAGATCTGGGATGCTCAACTTGTATGTGTGTGCCCAGAAACAGGGCCACTGGCCGTGGACCTGGGTAATCCTGCAGGTAGTCCTTGCTGCCCAGGAGCCAAGAAAAGACAAGCCTGTTGGCAATTCTGGCGCTCAGCCTGTTGACTATGGATTGGCTGCAGCAGCCTGGTCACCCGGCACTGGCCCCTCTACTGAGGTCTAGTGGTGCCGCTGCCCAGCGGGAGCCACACCTGCCTATCTTGAACCAGACTATGGGTCCTGAAGGATGCTGGGACTGCACTTCAATTCTATTTTACTGCAGTCCTGCTCATCTGGGTGGGGATCCTGCCCGGGGACCTGGAAGGAGTTATCCGCCCACACCTCTGGCAATAGATCTGCTGCCTGTGGACTTGACTTATTGTAGGTGAAACCCAGACAAGGCAGTAACACTCCAGACAATACACAGCCAGCCACAGGAAACCCTCAATGAATACAGTTGACTAACAATGTCAACATGTAAACAGTCCCACCACCAGTTCTTACCGATGTTACTCAAGGACATTCCTAAATCAACCTCTGTGTGGTGTGTCTAGCACCATGACCTGTCAGCCCCTCATCAGTTCTGCCATCAACGGCCTTCTAAATGGTGCTTGCAGAAATCCGCCTTCCTCATTGCCACCTGAGGGCTCCTTCTAAAATGTAAGTTTGATGACGTCCTTCACTGCTTCCCAGGATCTTGGAGGACTAGGCCCAGCCTACTTGTCTCCATGACCAGGCTCCGCTGGTGCTTGGTCTCCCACCATGGCCACATGTGTCTCAGGCTGCTTGTCCCCATTTACTTTACTTCACACTAGTTCTCATTTGCATATCTGTGTTTATGACATACATGTTCCTTCTTCCTCTTTCTCTTCCATGCTACATACTCTCCTTCCTCTTCAACTTCCCACATTCACAAGTTTAACTCATTTAGTTTAGTCATGATGTCCTGTAGGAATCCATCCCTAACTCAGCTAGCAAGAGAAGGCCTGGTGTCCTGGGGGACCTGGTTTGCCTTAGTTTCCTGAATACTTCACATCCCGCGGGGCTGGCAAGCTGGTGGAGATTTCAGCGTCTCCCATCATCCAACCCCTAGGACAAGAATCTAGGTCCCAACTTCCTTTGTCCCTTGTCTTGTCTTTGGCAGATTCTCCTATAATTACACATGGATGCAGTGAACCAGTATGACACAAGAATTTTTTTATAAGCTTAAAAATAACGGATTATGTACTTTTGGTTCGGAAGTCAAATAGAAATAAATGTTGATTTAAATAATGTTTCAGTTTTGTAACTATAAAAACAGCAGCTCTTAAAGATTAAGTAATTTCTCTAAGTAAAAATAATATTTGTGTGCCCAAGGCAGATACACAGAATGTTCTTTGGTGATAATATTTAAAGCGCACACACACACACGCACACATGCATACACACTCACATACACACAGCTGTCAGAAAGCTGTCCAAACTACACAAACAGCAAAACGGCAAAGATGGTGCGTGACAGTTTGTTACACTGATGGGTTGCCGTGGAAACAAGCTCAGACTACTTGGCAATTGAGACGAAAGGCAC